AGCCGGAGCTAGGGCCAGGGCTAGGGCTAGGGCCGGGACTAGGGCTAGCCTTGCGCGGACCACCAGCACCGCACCGCCACACCCCCTTTCACTTTCCCATTGGTACGAAAACGCCGCTGTGGGGATAGACCACGTCGGTCCTTCCGCCTTCCCAGCCCATGCCCAGTCTGCCCCGGGCGACAGCGAGGTGTGCGCAGGAAACGAGGGGCGCGTTCCCCGTCCGTCTGAGGGCCGTGGGTTCCGCATCGCGGGGCCCGTGGTGCGGGGTCATCGGCCTCCGTGGGTGTGGAATAAGCAGCCGGCGGCGGTTGTGCTTTGCCAGGCTTATGCTGGGTTTGGGATTGGTGCTGAGGGCGCTGGGGAGGTGTTGCTGTGACGCCCAACTTCTGGTGACTTACTGTCTCTGTCAGCTACTCAAGAAAACAGTAGCTTTTTTGTGAGGGCTCGGAAATAAAGCTGAGGAGAAGGTCACTGGTTTTATAGGCTGCAGAATAGTTACTCTGGGGTGAATGTCGTGCACTTCTAAAAGCAAGTGTTGCTGTCAAGAGCGTGGAAGAAGGTGCAAAGGCTGCTGCCACATGTAAAAAACAGCCAATAGTGCTACAGGGTGGTGTCTCTGTCAAAAATATTTGTAGATGCTGCTTCGCTATTGGAGAGGCATTGTGTTACCTACTACTCCTGTGGTGATGTCAACAGCTGCTGTTGGTGAATAGTTATTAGCTACTGAAATTCTTAATTCTCTTTCCAGTTGTATGAAATTCTTAATCCAATTCCAAATGCTGGTTTTTCTTTACTTAATTCTTGGAGCTTGCAGGAGCTCACTGAGCCAGGGCAATAAACTTTAGGTAGGTGCTGCCAAGTTAGGATGGTAGCAGCAACTGCAAAATGGGTTGGTGAGTGGACAGCTTCCAGGGCAGGAAAACAGAACCTATGAAGACCTTAACAAGGAAAGCATCTGTGTAATGAATCTTGGAGACTGAGCAGCTGAGTGATATCTAATGCCAAAAATTATTAATGTAGTGTCTGATTTGTTGTCACTGCATGACATACAGAAAAAATAGTCATGCTGAGAATTTGGTTTTCTACCTGAGCAAGCAGGCTGAGATTTCAAGTGATTATTTTCTTGTTTATTGGGATGAAAATATTAATAAAAAACTTAATTGTGCTGTTAATAAACAGATACTCTATGCAAGTTGCTAACTGTTTAATGCTTCTTTTTAGTTACTGAATGAGATTTTAAGTATGTTTTGATTTTAGTAATAAATAAAAACTATAAAAGGCAAACAAGTTTGGTCAGGTTGGATCCCAAGTTTATTCTTGGTAAACTGCTATGTTTATATAAAGTCACACTGTACACAAAAACTGATGACTGCTTTTTTTTTTTTTTTTTTTTTTTTTTTTTTTTTGTGGTGGTAAGTGAAATAAAATTTTGGGGAATGTTTTCAGGATCATTTTATTTTGTTGCCTACATATGAAAACAGAGCTGGAAAGCATGAGGTAAAAAGCTTGCATGCTCACGGATTTGTTACACAGATGCCAGTGCAGAAAGTTTGATCGAAGTTTTTTGCTTGCTTTTCAATTTTTGGCACTTTCCAAGAAAGGGAGTTTTTCTTTGAGTAAACCCTGAATAAAAAAAAAATAACAGATAAACATAATTTTTTAGTTTCCAAGAAGAGTCGTGTTTTCTGTGAACTAAATATGCTGTAACATCTGAAGTCTGAAATTGCTACAAATTCAATTTCTTTGCATTTTCAGTTTTAAATCTAGTTATGCCCAAATGTATATAAATATTCTTTCCTTTATTTTAGGAAGTCCAGAAGCATTCTGTGCACACACTTGTGTTCAGATCTTTGAAGAGAACCCATGATATGTTTGTAGCTGATAATGCCAAGCCTATCCCATTAGATGAAGAAAGGTAAGTACTGCAATCAGTGTATTCCCTAAAGTTGGTATGCCCTAAAGTTTTACATTATGTTAATGATAGCTCCATCCAAGTCAGAAGTTCAGATGTTTCCATAGACTTAACAGTGTAGTCTTGAAGGAAGAACAAAATATTGGAGTTGTAAGGCAAGTTGTATAAAACCTTCTCTAAAGTATTTCAAAACTTAACAACAGTTCAGAAATGGGTGTTTAATCAGGATTATGCCTTACTCTTCCGGCAGTCACAAAGTAAAGATGGCAGTCAAGCTGCGTACAGAGTACGGCTCTGTGTTACATATGCCTACTCTTAAAGAAAACTTGAGAGAGAAAGGAGGTCCAAACACTGGGGATCCTTACGGACAAAAACAGTATTCTGGAAATCAAGGTTAGTTTGCTCTTACTGTTATATTTGTCGTTTCTTTTGTGACAGTCCCACTGATGTAAAATCTAAAGAATGCAGTCCGATATTAATCCATCAGCGATAAAGATGGAAATCAAAATAGTAATTTTTCATTGTTTGCTATTTTTCTTGCTGGTGTCCACAGGAGATAATTAATCAGAACAAGAAAGAAGCTTGTTTTAACAGAGGAATAGTAGGATGCTCTGAGTTTTTTACAGTAACTCATTAATCAAATGAGTAATTTTTTTATGGTAACGTTTGTGTGTGCTGTACTTAAGTGTTAGAAAGGGAAAGATCAGGGATGTATTTCTTCTTACAAGTTTGTGATGGTCAAGGACATTCTTTTGTTACGGTGTTTGGGGGTGTTTTTTATTTCGTTTAATAGCATTTGTTCAGGCTTCCTTTAGGTGTTCAGCTATTAAACCAGGAAACACTCTTATTTGAAATCTGGGTGAGTGTTTTTCCAGCCTATGTTTGGTTATGTATAAAATATGTATGTGTTAGGTAGATCCCATACAGAAGCTTCTCTTCTGAAGAATGCCAAATGCCACTTTGTTTTAGTTGATTTTTTTTTAAGGTACTTTATTTCAAAGTATTCTGAGAGTGAAAGATGTTGAGAGATAATGAAAATTTTTAAGAAAACCTTTTTCTTTTCTGATACCACACATAATTATCTTAACTAGCTTAGGTTTCAGATGTGTATGCTATTTGGGTACCTGAATCCTTTTCCATGGTATCTACTTCAAAAGGCATCTCTGGCAGCATGAAGATTTTTCAAGAGAGTGAGTCCCTCTTGGTAACAAGTGGTATCGCCACTTAAAAAATACTATTTTACTCTTGAGTTTTAGAAAACTGAGGTAAACAGAACAAATGAAGTTAATGAAAATAATGTCTTAAGTATAGGACATTAGCAGCAGGAACCAGCAATCACTTCTATGTATGACCTGCTCTGTTCTTCTGTATTTCCTGAGTGCATTATTTGTAGTGCAGTGTAAAATGTAATCATTAGTATGACCTTTTCTTGCTCTTTAGGACAAGAACTTGAGTATTTGATAACTGGTACACATCCATATCCACCTGGCCCCGGTAAGTAAAATTCTGTGAGTGTGTGCCTGTGGTTTTTGCCTTTATGAAAGAACTAGGCATCCTTCATCCTAGCAAGAGTAGTCTTTGTGTTGCTGTGAATCTATAGCTGATAGTAGTGGGAAATGTCATTGAAGTCTTCCATAGTGCTGATGCAGAGAGTTCTGTGGCTGATAAATATTCTGGAATAGGAAGTGGATTTAGGTACAGATGCAGTGTCTTCTCACTAAGCCTTAGTGGATGTGGGCTTGCTGTGAGGTGGTCATTCATTTCTATAAGAGTTCACCTCCCAAGGTAAAATCATCACAAAAGACTTCTAGGAATCCCCTCTCTGGTACTGTGGTTCCCTTTCTCTTGAGGAGCTTGCTGAGACCCACAGATCCCTGGTGTCTCCACGGTTGTGGCAGAGCTGCTCTTAGAATTTTGTTGTGAACAAGGAGAGGAGGTTCCAACTAGAAGTAAGTTGAATGAAAAGAGAGAATGTGTCCTGCATTTCATCACCAGAGCAGAAAGGTGTAGGTATTGCCACCTTGCTCTGAGAAAGAGACATTAAAGTCTAATAATTTTCATGTCATTTGTTTTTGTCTCTGCTTGGAAGGATTGTGTTTCTGCGTTGTTACCTTGGCCACTGCTAATTGTCACAGTTATTGATGAGTCCTGCTTTCTCCCTGTAGCAGTTTAATTTTTAGCTGTTGATCTTTTACTGTTAGTGCTTAAGTTCATTGCAAGTGTGGTGGGAAATGTGTTCTAGCTTGATTTGTAAACTCACAAATGTGAGTGTTCAATGGACCTTTAGCCATTAAAAACCACACATAGTTGACTGTGTGGACAAGACTTACGGAGATTTCCTCCAGCTCAGTGTTGTTTTAATAGGATCAGGTATGATACGGTTAAAAATGAGATTTCTTTCACTGTTGTTTCTTGTTTTAACCTGGGCATCTTGCCCAAATATTGTCTTTGTTGTCAACTGCCAGACCTTTGGTTAGGAAAAGAAATAGAGAAACAGGAGTGGAATGGGTTCGCCAGTCTGCACCAAAACTACACTTTCTGCAAAGAGTTTTTACACTTTTAAAAACAGTAATAGGCTGCTATTAAGATGGGATTATAAATTACAAGTTTTAGTCAGAAATTCTCACTCCAGTAGGGCCAGAATACAAACCTCGGTAGATTTGACTCACATATGAGAAATAATGTGACAAGCCCTTGTTTGCAGGTGTGTATGTATCTATGTGTTTGCATAATATACTCCTTAGGGTTTTCTTTTTAATAGAGTTGTCTTTGCTTTTGTTCTGTTCTTTTTTACAAGGCGTGGCTCTGACGGCAGATACAAAAGTCCAGAGGATGCCTAGTGAATCTGCAGCACAGTCCTTGGCCGTAGCACTTCCTGCTTCTCAGTCTAGGTACTGCTCTATTATTCATTAATGCTTTTGCAATCTGTGGGAATTTCAAGGCAAAACACAAGTCTGGATAAGAGCTACTTGGAGTATTTTGAATATTCTCATTTATACAGTGTTTAAAGAAACAACTTTTAGTGTGGCCAGGCATTTTTTTTCTGGGCGCATTTTTTTCCTGGATCTCATGAAAAAGAGTGGCCAGAAGGGAATTTGTTGTGAAAATACAAGTAGGGAAAATTCTTCCTTGATACAAGAGTTAAAAATGGGGTTTTGTTTGAGGGTGTGTTTTACCTTGAGGTGGTCAGGCACTGAAATAGGTTGCACAGAGAGGTTTTGGAGCCTCCATCCTTGGAGGTCTACGGCGCTCGACTGGATGTAGCCCTGTGATACCTAATCACTTACTTAGTGAAAGGCAAAGTTGATTCCAATTCATCAACCATTTTCCTTCAACCTAGGCTGGATGCAAACCGGACAGCTGCTGGCGTGGGTGATATTTACAGGCATGCTGGAATATCTGAGCGTTCACAACCTCCTGGGATGTCCGTGGTGAGTTTGTCGTACATCTGATGTGGCAAGTATGTAGTGTACACCGGATTGTCTAGAACCTAAAGCCTTCTCACTGACATATCAACACTGATTAAAGTTAGTCAGTCAGGAGATCTCCACACAACACACAAATGGATAGAGGCAAAGAGATTAGGTTATAAAGCGTGAGAATAACCTTCCTTTTAACTTACAGGCTATGGTGGAAGCTGGTGGAAACAAAAATTCTGCGTTAATGGCAAAGAAGGCTCCAACCATGCCCAAACCTCAGTGGCATCCCCCTTGGAAATTGTACAGAGTAAGTTACAAATGTATGACATGAACGTGTGTGTAAACATAACATAGAAGTTAATATTTCGTGTTCTACAAAGACCTTAAAGCATGTTTTCTTCTCATTCACAAAAATGAAATCAAATGAAAAGTGATCATAACTAAGCTGTATATGCGCACTTTCCTTAAATAACAAATAGATTAGATTACAAAGGTTTTTCATTCTATCAGTAAGTTATTTTGTGAATATTTTACAATTTTGTTTACATGGGTGTAGCTGTATTATGATAAGTTCATTACAGAGTTTGTTTTTTCTTTTCTAGTCAGATTCTTTGGTAGAGGACCTCAAAGGACAAGGTGCAGACTTTGAAACTAATATGTTAAAGAATCGCTCTAGCAATGTTAAGTGGTTTTGGAGACAATTTCATTACGCTAAGGGCAGTCAGTGTCTGAATCAGACAGACTTCTTTTACTTGATATGAAAATAGGGGCAAAAAAGCTGAATTCTTTAATCACGAAGAGTGCAGTCACAATCTGAGATTGCTTGACTTCTAGACTTGTTTTTAATTAGTCTAACCTGCCTTTTAATTTTCTTAGGGGGCAATAATAGCCATGACCCCAAAATCTCAATCTTTAAACGTTTTGGTGACAAGTATGGCAGGGTAGCTGAACTGAAGGGAAAAATCTCTAAGCATATGTATTGGTTCAGATCTTTTTAGCCTTTCAGGTGCATCTGTTTGTGTACACTTTTTTCTAAGGGGCTCATTTTTACTATGAAACTTCAGCAATTTAATAGTCCCCATTTCTCAGACAAAATATGATTTTAGGAATGTTAGGTTTTCCTGGTATTTAAAAATATGTCACCAAAATAATCCTCTTGCAGTCTCTCTGCAAAGCCTCAAGTGTTGAGCCACACTGTTATGGGCTCTCAGAGGATTTGAAAACTTTGTTTATAGGATGTGGGCATTTAATTTGGGCTAGTAGTAAATACCACTCAGCTTCTCGCTCACATCCCCCCTCCCCGCCTCAGTGGAGGAGGAGAGTCAGAGAAAAAGACAAGGAAGCTTGTAAAGTTGAGATAAAAACTATTTAATAATTGAATATAGATAAGAATTATAGTGGTACTACTAATGCTAACAATACTACTAATAGTAAAGTAAGTAAAATAATAGAAAATAGAACATATGATACAATTCTTACCATCCACGACCGACTCACAGCCAGGTCCTGAGCAGTGAGTGTCTAAGCCTCAGAGTGACAACACGGTAAAAAAACAGTTAGCCCCCAACCCACTAATGAACAAACCTGCACCCCCAGCTATCAAGCTAGCCAAAGTCTTAATGACCCCCCCCCCAAGCCACTTCCTGCCTAGAAAACCTGGCTACCATGGAATGAAACGTGTCCTCAGCCACCTTGGGCCAGCTGCCCACACTGAAGAAAAGCAGCTCTCTCCTGCCTGAAACCAGCACATAAGAGCAGGGTCTTTCTGTACTGCAAGTTCCCTAAGTCTGGTGTGTGGCATGAATTTGTTGTCTCTTTTAACTAAAGTAGAAATCAGGCTCTCTTTAGATCTAACTTCACATTCAACCTTTTTGGAGAGCGTGTTTCTTGGTGAATACTTAAATTCCATTGTTGGAGAATGAAAATTGTATTGGCAGATTTATGTGTATTGTTTCTGATTTAGAAAAATTCTTGTTTTTTTCTAAAGGTCATCAGTGGCCACCTGGGGTGGGTGAGATGTATTGCAGTAGAACCAGGGAATCAGTGGTTTGTTACTGGCTCTGCCGACCGAACTATAAAGGTAAGAGGTTGGAAGAAATCACTGACCAAGTTTGAGGGTTTTTTGTTCTCTTATTTAAATAAGCCTTGAGCCCTTGGAAACAATTTCTTCATTACTGCTTCCAGAATAATGAACTGCAGAACTTCTTTCTTTCTTTTATTACCTGGTCATAAAGGATTTGTGGAGTATTACTTCTTGAGATTTCATTTATTACGTGGTAGTAGCTGGAGAGCAAATGTTTGTTGGAATTTTTAACTTTAAATGTAGCAGGATCAAATACATCTGGGCTGTTTACCCAGACTATCACGGTGTAGCTTTTGCCAGTTTACCTCAAAATGCCTGTTCTCATGCAGATTTGGGACCTTGCCAGCGGCAAATTGAAATTGTCTTTGACGGGACACATCAGTACTGTACGAGGGGTGATTGTAAGCGCAAGAAGCCCGTACCTCTTTTCTTGTGGAGAGGACAAACAAGTGAAATGCTGGGATCTTGAATACAATAAGGTAACCTGTAGTTTCTTTAACTGGAATTAATTGGTGGTGACAACTATAAAAAAGCATTTAAAATACTCTTTCAAATATCCAGTTAATGTGTGTGTATGTGGGTTTTTTTATTCATCTAGGTTATCAGACATTACCACGGTCATTTAAGTGCTGTCTATGGTTTAGACTTGCATCCAACAATAGATGTACTGGTAACGTGTAGCAGAGATTCAACAGCACGAGTAAGTATAGCCTTGTTACGTTTTAATGTCTTGGCATGCCAGCGTGTTTCAACGTCTTCCATTTGTAAAAGTGAAAACTTACCGCAAGTTAGCATCCCTCAGGATGAAAACACTAAGATGATTTATGTTAACTTTTGTCTCCCATTGTTGAGGAAGCTGAAGCCTGAATACACAAAAATACAATGTCACTTAAGAAAAAAACCCAACATTCTCCTGAATTTAGTCGTTAGGCTAAATAGTACATATAGGATCACTAAGTATTTAGAGGACAGTATGGTTTTATGGTGTCTCTGCACCTAGAAATTCAGTGGCAAGCTCCCCTGCTCTGCTTGAAATTTGTCAGCTGAGGCAGTTGTGTGATGAATTGTTGGATGAAAAATACAACCTAAATACCATTATTTAATCTGTAGAACTATGGCAAGGGATTAATGTTATCAATGGCAGTGCCTAAAATGTACTGAATAGTCACCTGTTGTTGTCCTCTGACTTAATTTACTGTGCATTCATAGATTTGGGATGTGAGGACAAAAGCCAGCGTGCACACACTATCAGGACATACAAATGCGGTAGCGACAGTGAAGTGCCAAGCTGCAGAACCACAAATTATTACAGGTATGGTGGGTATGGTTTCACAAGTAATGTGGCTGAAAAACCTGACCACGAATGTGTGTGTGTGTGTTCAGGGATTATGTGAGGTGCATAAAGTTATCTTTGTTAACTTAATTTCTTACTAGTTTTCTGCTGAAAACGAGCCATTCAATGGTTATTTCATACATTAATGGTATGTTTAAGCAAATACAGCTATGCATTGTTTGAATGTTTTCTGTATGTTCTTTGTTTCTGAAGCTTACATTTTCTTGTAATACATATTGAGACTTGCGTTTTCTGTGTTATTTGACAGTTCTCCCCAGTTCAGTTCATGTCCAGTGCCATGGTTAAATATGAAGTTATCTTCTTTCCCATGGGGTCAAAATCCAGCTTTGCTGTGTAACTACTTAGTTCTTGAATATCAAGCTGCATAAAAAGACTATTACATTATCTTTCTCATTTGAGGTGGCATTAGTATCATATTTTTGGAACAAGCATAATATTTTTCTTTCACATAAAAAGTTTTGATTGTTACCGAAATAATAATAGTAGAATCAATGTGATGGTTTCTACTATTTTTTAATCTTCTTTTTGTTATAGGCAGTCATGATACTACCATACGGCTCTGGGATTTGGTGGCAGGAAAAACTCGTGTTACTTTAACAAATCACAAGAAATCTGTAAGAGCAGTAGTGCTACATCCAAGACAGTAAGTTTTCCTCATTCCTTTACACTTTCACAGCTCATAACGTTGGCTGGTGACAGAAAGCCAGCGTGTGTGATGATTTAGAATTGTAGGGCATAATAATGTGAAACTAATGAGCTTGGAATGCTGTGAAAATGTACCTATCAGTTCTCAAATCCCTTCACTACTCTACGCTACCAGAGTATTGGCACTGGTATATAGTAGCAATCCTGAGAATGTCTTACACCTCATGGAATTTATGAATATGCCTTTGATACAGTCCTTGAGAAATCAGTGACACTGGGCTTTGTAAGACTAATAGTAAATACGTAACTGAATAATTGTTAGCAGAAAGTGAAGTAGTTTTGTAAAAGGGTACATGTGTGAATAATGCTAAAGACAACTCATTACTACAAAGGGGATTTTTAAGGGGTTTTACTTCACAAAACATTTCAGTCTAACTGGCCTTAAAAAGGAGCTTCTTGTGAGCATTTAGTCTTTGAAGGTGGGTGGTGTTGCAAGTCCTCTGAATTTAGATTCTGTATTTTGATGCATCAACAGCTGCCTGTTTGGGTAAATCTCTGTTAAATCAATAGAGAAGGAATTCACGTAGAACTGCAGTACTTTTGCACCTTCAGTATTTTAAAACAAAATTGTGTCAGTGCAGAAATTGAGAACCTTTCACATGAATCAGTTCTGATCCAATCTGTGTGTCAGAAAAATTACAAAAATCTCATGCAATGCCTGTTAGCTGTAGCAGAGAAAACGGAAACTACTCCTACAGGTGTTTGTCTGTGCTACCTGAATAACCTTGTGACTGCTTGCACATGTTAAAATGAGGGAATTGATTATTTTAGGGTAACTCAGTAAAACAAATGCTCTTTCACAGTTTGCTTTTTTTGCAGTGTTTTGTTCTTGGTTGTGTAGTTTTGGAAGACTAACCAGTAGTGGGTTTTTTTCTGTTTTGATCCTCCTGCCGTACCTCTGCTGCTGATGCTCTTATATCTGAAAATTTGCTAGAACAACAGCTGACAAGAACTTAATATTGTTAAGTTAATACTTAACTGTATGTGTCATGGTATGTTTGCATAGTTCTGTGTGGCGTAGGCTTTATAAAGTTTAGGCAGTCTGTGGAAGGGAAACAGTAGAGGTGGGTAATGCATGACTTCATAAAATTGCTTCATTTTATGTGAAGTAAGAATGTCAGAAAAGCAGCTTTAGGGTTAAGTAACTTTACAGCTAGCGTTGAACAGTCATTTCAATGAAGGACGTTCACTATCCCAGTGGCTATTTGCAACTCAGATTTGTTGTGCTTATTTTCTTTCAGTTACACATTTGCATCTGGTTCTCCAGATAATATTAAACAGTGGAAATTCCCAGACGGAAACTTCATTCAGAACCTCTCCGGTCACAATGCCATTATCAACACGTTGGCTGTAAATTCTGATGGTGTTCTGGTCTCCGGAGGTAAAAATGAGAAATACATGTTCATATTTCCTCTCTTCACTCCCCCACGTATCTATGGCTGGAAGTCTTTAGGCAAAGATGCTCGCTGAGCTCTCCTTTATCTGGGCCTATTAGCCTGCTTCAGCACACAACTTCATTTTATAGGGAGTAGGGCCACTTTTATCATCTTGGATGTTACTGAGCTGCATGCACAAAAACATATTTGAAAGGACTTTTAATCTGCAGCAGGGAAGGGGCTTCCTCTTCTCTGTTGGTAGCTGCTGCAAGGCTCCAGAGTCCACCTTCTATGATCTCCTGAGTCTGAATCATTAGTGTTCCCTCGGGAATAGTGTGGCAATTGGAAGCTGCTTGGGGAGACTCTTGCTCTTTGGCTGCACTTAGTAACATGTTGATGCAATGAGACTAGATAGAAGATGTAGAAATATCTCCTAAAGCTTGCTGTACTGTTTAAGTGTGCACTTTCCCTGTTTAATGCACTTTCCCTGTTTAATGCAGCGCAAACACATTGGTTCTGTTGTCTCAGAGTTTCTTGCACATATTTTCTGATGTTATCTTTGTATCTAAAAGATGGATAGTTAATCTCCAAGTTGTATTTGGGTATATGAATCAAACCCACGCTTACTCAGCAATATTATGTGTGCAAGTGTTCTGAAATTCAGTAATTAGCTGCTTGGCTTCAGTGCCTACATGTATTTTGGGAGGATTTTGCATCTATTGTGACACACTGATTTAATTTTTTTCACTCAAAACCTTCATGAATTTAATAATCTGGTACAGTAGAGTATTGTTAGTGGTCTGTGAGCCCCCAAAATCTGGTAACCACTGGTTTGTCTTCACGCATGTGTGTTGTGGTGTGGAACATTCCCCATGTGGGAATAGGAAGAGAATCCTGAGTGCTTACTGTATGTGGTTGTGAATAATTTTATGTAAGAACAGTTATCTTGTATTGCACATTATATTTTTCTATATATCAGTTACTCAAGGACTGTAATAACACATACTCCCACCCAAATATTTTTACTAAAAGCATAATCTGTTCTTTCTCAGAGTTTTTTATTTGTACAAGACAAAGTATGTGTGTAGACCTTTCGTAGTGACAATCTTTCTTGAAAGTAGCTTCTAGAAATCCCAACTGAATTCAGATCTCTTTAAGGCATTGCTCCTACATAGGAAGGAGATGGTGTGTCTTTAATGTGTTAGGAAGTTAGTAAATAGTGTGGAACAAGAAAGTGCTAATTTCACAGTTTGAGAGCTGAGCTCTAAAGAGAGTCCAAGATTGCATGGGTAACAGGAGTTAAAGGAGTAGGTTAAACCCATATCTCTGAGATCCTAGACTGGTTGCTCAATCACAAGATTGTCCTGGGGGTGCTCTAGCAGTCAGAGGAGCATGAATTAAGAGGCTGGACTGTATTGCTTTGTGTAACTTGCAGAGACCGAGTTTTCTCGTCTTGGGTTTGCTTATCTAATCTTTTGGGTAATTGTAAACAAGGATGGGACTCAATTCACAGTATCATGCATGGTAAAACAGTTTAAGATGAGCTCCATGAGTTTACAGAACCAGATACTTCGAAAAAACATTCCTGTATTTGTAACCAGTCCATAAGAAAAACCATAACTCTTAAGATGTGCTTTGAAATACTGCAATGTGTTTAGTCCCGCTTGGTCCCGTGTGCTCTTGGTCCTGTTGGATGCAGTATGTCATGTAGGCTAGGGATGTGGAGTAAAACAGAAATGTGCTAAGCGGGAGCTGGAAGATAGCCAAGGGAAGCTGACAGTCTAATTAGCCATGTTTTCAAGTATGTATAGAGGCGGCCCTTGATTTTTAAAATTGGATAAAGCTTTAGTTGACAGCTGGTGCGTTCATAGTAAGAACACGAACTTTATAAAATACTGGACTGGGCTTATATTTCACTTTGTATTATTTTGAAAACTCTTCTAGGATACTTTAGTGGGACACTGTGTTAGTAGTAGTTGGGGCTTCAGAAAAACTTGTTCCTTCTCCACATGAAAAACTATTGTTATAGTCATACACTGAGTTTTTTAAAAATAGCAGTTTGAATATTGATCTCCCCCTTACAGATGTATCCTCATGTTGTCTACAGTAACTTCAAAGAAATCGATGCTGAATTAAATTAAGTTGATGTTACCTTAGTATTTCACTGTAGAATAATCCTTGAAACATCTGGATTTTTTTGTCTAGCTGGCAGCTGTGGAGAAATTTTCAGTAGATCTGTTTTGGCTAGATAATGCTTTGGGGAGGGGATTGATTCTTGTAACTGAGAAACTGCTTTGAGAGCATCCTTCTGAACAGAGTTCAGATTGCTGTGAACACCCTGTAGCTGATGCCACTAGCAGTAACACTGGCAGTGGGTTAAACTGAGAACATTGGCAAGCGTTAAGCCTGTGTCCCATTACAGATTCCTTAACATCCATTCGTCTGTTTGACAGGACGATACCTCTTCGTTCAATGTTAGTGGAGTTGCTGAACAGGGAGCTTGAAATTCACAATGCCAGTCCATGCTTTGCTTCCAAGGCAACTTGCTGCAACTGCCTTGTGATGTCGATTCTCATCTCTCTGGCTTGTCTGGTGCAAAACTGGGTGAAATTGTGAGAAAGCTTCCATCAGCCGCCTTAACCAACAAGATCAGCCTTTCTTAACTAAGAAGGAAATGAGTAGCAAATGGGAAGCCTTGTAGGGTGTACTGAGCGATTCTACATGAACGTTATAGCTGATGTATTCCTGATGCGTCAGTTGGTTGTTCATGATGCTGGTTTTAGAGGAACGGTAGAAATTAACTGATTTAAGTACTAAATGTGTTTTTCTGTTTGTTATAGCTGATAATGGTACTATGCACCTTTGGGACTGGAGAACCGGATACAATTTCCAGAGGGTACACGCAGCTGTGCAGCCCGGCTCTTTGGACAGTGAATCGGGAATATTTGCTTGTGTTTTTGACCAGTCAGAAAGCAGATTGCTAACAGCTGAAGCTGATAAAACCATAAAAGTATACAAAGAAGACGATACTGCGGTATGTCAAAATATCTTTTTAATGTATTTTCATGAAATCGACAGATTTCATACAAACAATACACATGTCAGTAAGGGATGTGCGCAGACTCGTGTAATCCATTTCATTCACATTTGAAAGCTGTGTGTGTAGTGTTAAGAGGACAGCAGCTAGTTTCTGCACTCTTAATTTCCTGTGTGCTGTAGTACAAATAAATCTCAGGTCCATCAGTTCTTTGTGACACACTTTGGAGAAATCTTAATACAATAATGTGCAATCTGTTTTGAAGCCAGTATGGACTGTGGTTTTATTAATTTAAAAAGTGGGAATTAGCAAAAAGTTTAGATTTTAAAGATGTATGGTACTTCCATATATGATCTAGATTAGTGATTTCCCATGACAATTTCTAGAATTCAGTAAATGGCTGGTTTTCAAGTTGTTATTCCCAAATCTGACTCCATTTCCTAATGATGAAGAAAATAGATTATTGTATAGTTCATCAGAATATGTCTTCCAGTATAAAGAATAGAAGAATTTTTATTAAACCTTTGGTGTTTTGCACTGAATTAGTCTTGGAGCACCTTTTAGATATGAAGGAATAAGGAATGCTTTGCATTTGGGTAAACTATCAACTCTTTGGCATCTGCCAATACTGATGTAGACACCACTGCAAGGACTGTCTCTGGAATTCCTGTTCCTGTGCTTTGATCACTACAATGTTTCTGAAATGCCATTTGGCAACCTGATTTTTGTCCTTGTAGTGCCAAAAAAAACCCCAACCCCACCAAAAAAACACCACACCCTAAAAAACCCTAGGACAAATTTTGTCATGTACTTCAGACAGTGGGATGATAAAAAATTTGTTTGGGTAAATTAATGACATATATATTAGTTAATTAGAATCATAGAGTCATTTAGGTCGGAAAAGACCTTTCAGATCAAGTCCAACCATTAAACCAGCACTGCCAGGTCCACCAGTAAGCCATGTCCCTAAGTGTCACGTCTACCTGTCTTTTAAATACTTCTGGGGATGGTGACTCAACCACATCCCTGGGCAACCAGTTCTGATGCCTGACAATCCTTGGGGTGAAGAAATCTTTCCTAATATCCAATCTTAACGTTCCCTGGTGCAATCTGGGGCTGTGTCCTCTTGTCCCAGTGCTTGTTACTTGGGAGAAGTGACTTACACCCACCTTGCTACAACCTTCATTCAGGTAGTTGTAGAGAGTGATAAGATCTTCCCTGAGCTTCCTCTTCTCCAGACTGAACAACCCCAGTTCCCTCAGCCGCTCCTCACAGGACTTGTGCTCCAGACCCTTCCCCAACTCCATTGCCCTTCTCTGGACACGCTTCAGTACCTCAGTGTCTTTCTTGTAGTGAGGGGCCAAAACTGAACACAGGATTTGAGATTCCCAGCCACTTGTCCCCAAGCCTGTAGCATGACATGGGGTGGTTGTGGCCCAAGTGCAGGACCCAGCACTTGGTTGAAACTAACTGTATGAGGTTCAACAAGGCCCATCGATCCAGCCTGTCCAGATCCCTCTGCAGCGCCTTCTTGCCCTCGGGCAGATGTGCACAGTAAGTGGTTTTCTTGGGGGGTGTGTGCACCCATGCAAGTTTGGTGGCCTTTTTTAATATGGTTGTGCTCAATAATACAGCAAATAGCACAGTTCAAAAGTGCCTGAAAAGCCCAGTCTGCAATTTCTCTCTGCAGTGGCTGAACTTGGGTTTTCCATTTCATACATCATTTACAACTTGCTGCAGTGATTCTACAAAGTCAGTACGCAACTTACTGAGGGTCCACTTGATCCCCTTGTCCAGATCGTTGATAAAGATATTACAGAGAACTGGCCCAACACTGAGTGAGATTTGATTCCATAGCAGTGCTTTAGACCCAGCCATCCAGCCAGTTTTTTACCCAGTTAGGAGTATGCCGATCCAGGGCCATGAGCAGCCAGTTTCTCCATGAGAATGCTGTGGGAAACAGTGTCAAAGGCTTTACTAAAGTCCAGGTAGACAAGGTGTATATATAATATTATATATGAAGTTGTGTATATATACTATGTGAGTAATATTTTAAACCCTAATTAGAGGTAAATTTCAAATTAAAAATCCTTATAAGACTTTTTTCTTTTTTCCCTTTAGACTGAAGAAACTCATCCTGTCAGCTGGAAACCAGAAATTATCAAGAGAAAGCGATTTTAGTGCAGCACCGTACTTAGGCTGTAACACTGTTTTGGCTTTCCTGAGAGTATTCAGTTACATTTTGTTCTGCCTAGAACAGCAGAGCAGGAAGTCAGCTAAGTCATTGCTATTTCAACATGTTTTATAATAAATTTTATTTCTTTTCTTTTTGTCTCTTTTTTTTTTTTTTGGTGTGATCCCAGCAAACCAGTTGCAGCTGTTAACTTTCTCTTTGTGGAGCATGTATAGGTCATGAAAAGTATAGATGTGCAGGTGGTTACTTTTTTACATGGATCTGTTGAGTGTAAGTCTAAAAATACTTGGTGCCAGGTCCTCTGAAAGACCCTTGCTTGACTCTGAAAGTTAATGGCGAATTTCTGCATAGAAGCCATCTGCTGGAAACTTCTGGAATGACACTTGTAGGTTTTAGACCAGTATTGTTCACTGTACATATGCTAAGTGTATACTGTAACGGAACAGGATGTATACTAAATTACAGAGGAATAGAGTAATCAAGAAAGAAGCAGGACAATGTAGTAATTATCTAGTCAGCTTTATAAGCACAGCAACTGAGCATCACCAGTCCTGTCTTACTGAATGAAATGGATCTTCAAAGTGTTTCTTTCATTCATATGCAACTGCTCACCTTCATGCATTTCACTTCAGAGTGGGTCTTCTGTAGCCAGGACCACTGTCAAATCATATTGTTCATGGTGCTACAGGGTTAGGACCAGTTGTCTTTCTTTGTAAATCACCTGTGTGTTTTCCAGTTATCCAGAGCACATATGGCATTAGAGTACAGCGAACTTCTAAAACAGAGCTGTAAGGGGAAAAGCTCTTCAGTCATTCCAGCCTTACTCTTACATGTTGCTGTCTCCCCATGATCTTGGGAAGGAATTTAAAATACATTAAAAATTACTGAGAGGTAATTTGTACTCTTGAAGGGAAAAACCTTCATTGTGCTTACAAACAGTCCCATTAAAAGCAGTAAAGCTGTAAGCCTCCTTGCTTATCTGTGATGTCTGTGCTGCTGTAAAGCACTCTCTCTTCATGTGGTAGTGGAGACAAGCGCTAAGTCATCAAGCCATTCAGCCTGTCTGACTCTCTTCAAATCTGGGACTTATGTTAGCAAAATGACAGTTACTTGCAATGTAACTTATAAAAAGCGAGTAAAGCTAAATGTTGCTTATATTGTGAGAATTTTCCTCTTGTCTTTTATGATGCACAGGAATTCTTGTATTATTTTAATGTTTGAGAGTGTTTAAGGGAGTCCATGCTGCGTGGATAACTGAATTTGCATAAATAACTGAATTTTGGTTGACAGCTGTTGCCTGAAGCATCTTCACAAAAAAGGGAGGTGGAGTATTTGGTATTTACAAGTTGGATTAAACATCTTTTTACTTGGATGCTAATTTGAATCTTTCTAGATATTTATTACAGCTGTTTTCATTTGGACTAATGTAACAGGGGGGAAAATGCAGGCTGTGGGTTATGAATTTGTTATACTGCTGCTAATGTTTCATTCTATAGATCAATGAAGTGTTGGTGTTACACAGCATTTGCTTGCTCACACTGAAATCCTCTGTAGGAAACCAGAGTGCAAAGGAGTAACTTACTCAGAAATGAGGAATGTGATGTTGTGGGTTGTTCTGGTTTGCTGGTGTGGTTTTTCTTGGTTTTTTTAAAGGGTCTATTGCTTCTGGTAATTTGGAATCAGGGAAAATCAGAGGTGTTTGCTCACAGTTCTAGTACCTCTTCTCTGTACTAGCACTTGCCTTTAAAAACTGCATTTATTCCACTGTTTGTTGCTCTGAAGAGAGATCAGAAAGTTTCCTGCAGAACCTGGCTTTCCTCCATGGATTTCTGCAGGAATCTGCTAGCACGGGGCAGTGGTTGCCAAGGCATTCTGTTTGTGCCCTGAGTGAAGGTGTGGTTTGCAAATTAAAGGCTATGTACTATTACTTGGAGTAATGCTTCTTTTTGGCTCCGTATTATTCTGTCCCAGTTCTGAGTGTGGTGGGGGGGGTTGTTCATTATTATCACTGTGTTCCTTAACATTCGATTTGCATGTTGATTTCCCAGCAGTTGCTTCTTCCACTGGACAGCAATGTGAATATCGCCACACATACTTGTATACAAGTGGTACTAACGACACGTCAGTAGTATCAGGTTTCCTTTAAGTGTTTCCCTAGTGCAAACTAAGCCCAGATGGGGAGCTGTGATGCACACAGATCTGATTGTGTAGGCTACGGAGTGACGTTATATTTGTCCACGTAAGTCATGGGGTAAAGCAAAAGAGGAGGATCTGGTCCATTTGTGTTTTCCATGCTTCTGGAAAGTGTCACGCTGCAATGTCGGTTAAAGTAATCTGGAACTGGGAGTCTAATCTCAGAAAATAATTATTTAGTTCATAAAATTTGTTGGTGACTTCTGTATATGGTCGAATCATACGCATTTCTACCACAAACCTTGAGGTTTGTTTTGTACTGTATGTACTTGCAGAGAAGTGAGGAAATGGTCTTCGATTGTAACGATTCAAAGTAACTGGTATAAATGATAAATTTTGAGCTCGCTGCTGGCTGTGTACTAAAGCATATGGTGCAGGCTTTGCAGCTAGAGTGCTGTCATCTGCTGGCAGCCTGGGAGCTGTGCTGATCACCGACTTAAAGGCTTACAGAAGTGAATCTTTAGTGGCCGTTTTCCTTTTAGTCCTGTTGGATAAGAATTCAAGTGCTATGCCTGATTTAAGTGACAGCAATTTAGCCATCAATAAAACCTTCAATACAATATTATTTCATGTCTTTTTTTTTTTTCCCTATTTTGGGCTTTGTAGTAACAACAGAAAATAAATATTTATTGAAAGTTAAAGTAATGGTTTAAAATGACGTCTCTTTCCCATAGTGCAGTAACGGCTATTTTTGCAGATCACGTAATGGAGAGAGAAAATACTGAAGGGTCTTTTAGCATGAGCTGCCTCTGTGTGAGGAGAAATAGCAAAACAAATGCAGAATCGTTCGTGAATTTTCTGACATGTTTAAAAAAAAAAAAAAAGCCCCACAACCCAAACATAGAAACTCCGCTGGAGTTAGGTATGAGGTCTAGGACAAATTCTGGGTGGGAGCTGTGGGGGTGGGGAAAAAGCTCAGAGTTACTTTAACTTCTGTATGTCTTAACTGGGAGCAAATGGAAGGGATATTTCTGTCCGTGGCACATAACTGAACAGTTTGACCTTTCCCGGCACTGAGGTCAGGCTGACAGACCTGTAGTTCCCTGGAGTCTCATTCTGGCCCTTCTTGTACATGGGCGTCACGTTTGTAACTTCCGGTAAACTGGGACCTCCGGGGTGAGCCGGGACTGCTGATAAATGGTGGAAAGGGGCTTGGTGAGCCCTTCTGTCAGCTCCCTCAGCACCTTTGGGTGGATCCCATCCAGCCCCATAGATTTGTGGGTGTCTAAGTAGTGTGGCAGGTCGCTAACCATTTCTCCTTGGATTATGGGGGCTTCATTCTCTTCCCATCCTCATCTTCCAGCTCAGGGGAACAACTCTTGGGCTCTTGGATGCTGCAAATGTCTTTTCCCCCCACCCCCCAGCTGACGCATTGCTAAGAAGGGGGCTCAAGGGTTAAGCCCTCCGGAGCAAGGGAGAGTCAGTGCAGCATCAGCATGAATTATGAACCCCAAGGGCTACACCTAGAGACTTCCTAGAGGCCAGACAAGAACGAGCTGTAATTAACTGACCTCTCTCAGGGAGGTGAAGAGGACAGTAGAAAAATATGACCAGAAGAGACCAGAGCTATGACATCTGCAAGGAAATATTTGAAAAGGTGCTACATTTACCTAGCAGGCCGGAGGAGAGAGGATATTTCTGGATTAGCTGCGTGCTGCATGGGTATAAAAGAAGGAATGGGAGAGAATAGCACCCTGATGAGGATGCTGCCAACGGTGAAAATGAAGACATGGGCATCCTCACGCAAAGTCTTTTGACAGCAACCTCTAAATCCATTTCTGAGAAGCGCCAGTATTTTATGTACCTGTGTATTCCGGTACCCTCACGCTTGGAAGTGTAACTCTGCATACTTCAGAAAATCCTTTGGCACGGGAAGAATTGCAGAGCAACACAGAGCGAGGAGGCTGGAGGGTTCTGCTGCTGCAGTGGGGTTTTTAGGGAGGAAGCACTTACAAGTACAATTCTAAACAAGGCTTGAGAGTAGAGTGTGAAGGGTGAAGCCGAAGTGATGAATATAGAAAGACAGCGAGGCTGATTTTACAATGGAGCGAATGAAAGGTTTACCCTACAACACTGAGTTTACTTCTTTCTGACAGGCGACTGGTGAGCTGTAGAAGGGGGCGTGAGTTCATAACCGCAGAGCATCATGCTGACAGGATGCGTTGCCGCTGGGACACTGTCGTGTGATGAATAAGGGTGTGGCTTGTGCAATCAGAGAAACTCTTGTGCTGCATCCAACAGCAGGATTGGTTTGTTTTCACTAGGAAAAGACACCGTGAACCTTAATGTGGCTTAACTATTTCCGAGTAAATCCCCTTGACAAGCAAGCTTCCTGCATTGACGACTGGGGATCTGCTCTCAATAAAGCAGCAATATAGAGTATGAATAGAAAAATTCCATACAAAAATTGGAACATGGCTTCAGCTGCCAGATGAGTCAAATTTCATGTCCTGTAAGTATATTAATTCTTTCCTGCTCATTCAGTTTCTTTTCTTCTCATGCAACATGGTAATGAACATGCTTCTTTCAAAGAAAGCTTGGCAGTGCAAACCTACCGGAATCGCTCAATTCTGTTAATGACTTTGTTCTATTTCGGAACTGAAAATCCCAGTGAATGAGTTTTATTATTCCATGTTGCTCTAAATCAGTGTTTTAAGAGGAAATTCAAAAGTAACTAGCAAGTCAACCTCATCATGGTAGCTAAATAAAATTATGGATAAAAATGCTTTCTGCTAATCAAGATGAATGTAGTGAAATGCAGTGTATTTCTCTTCCTGAGCAAACCTGATTCTTTAATTTCTAAGTGAGGTTGTAAAGGTCCTTTAATTACTTATGGGGAAAGCAAACTCCTCCTGTTGTTATCCCGTTTCTTAGTGGTGTTGGCACATGCAGTTGCCGGCTCAATGATGCAGTTTTTCTCCAGCCGTTAAAATAGGATGACTGTGCTTAAAATGGCACGGTGTGTTTCAGGCTGTCACACACTGAAGAAAACATCCCCACGCTTTCCAGTGACAAAGCCCTGTGGTCTATGGCAGTGCATTTTTTGAAAGTAGCGTTCACAGGTTTCAATTTCACCTTGACTTTTTTTTTTTTTTTTTAAGGCAACTGTAGCCTTTAATGAAGAAAACAC